TTTGAATTGCTTTTACATTTAGTGTGTGTTATGAGTTTTCCAAGTATTTTCCACAATGGCAAAAAAAAGTGAAAAAGAGAAATTTCAATGGGTTCTTAAACAGGCCTGTTTGTGACAAGCTACTTTTGGGTGTCTTAAAAAGGCTAGCTTGTTTGTATTGATAATAACATGTGAAATAGAGATACCATCATTCTTAAGAGAAAGTGAAGATACTTGCTTAGAGTCAGAGTCAAGCAGAGGTTTTGCACAGCTCTGCATAGGCCTTCTGTTGGGCCATGTGCCTTGCTACCTCTTCCTCTTCCCCTCTTGTGCAAAGTGGCAGTCGTATTTGCTCTTCCCTTTCTTCAGCTTCCTCAGATCACTGTGTTCTACCCTGCCTGAAAGAACACTTCTGTTGTTAAATATCTTCTCTGAAAGCTCTTATGACAAACCCTCTATAGCCTACTCTGCAAAGGCTCCTTGATAATTTTGTTTGCTCCATAGCAAAGGACTCCTGGCAGGTCCATCCTGTTTGACCATAGGAGCCTCACTGAGGAGCTACCAAGGGTGATTTCTGTCAGTCCTGAACACCTCATGACTCAAAGAACAGACTTTCTTCAGAGTGATAGACTTCTTCTATAAGTTGCATTGTGTAAATGTTCTGAGAATGAGGGATGCCATCAGCTGATACTCTGGGGCTTGCTCCCATGCTGGTGTCTCACTGTGCCCTCCAAACTCTGGACATTGGTCTTCACCTTGAGATACTGTCTCAAAGGTATTGTTTGTCTCTCTTGTTTAATTCTGTCTCACAGCAATTTTCTGCAACTTAATTTCTCCAGACTGTTGTATAATCCTGGTCAGTCGGATGGCCCCCAGTATGACAGCCTTTTCATGAGCTGTCTTGAAGATATTTTCACTAAGTTGTGCAACTGTATTGTTACTGTACCAAAGAAAATAGTCTTTGCCATTTGAAAACCCAAACTGCTCTTTCATGCTTAAAAAATAACAAAATAAAAACCACCACAGATTCAACAACCACATCAATCTGTCTATAGAATACTCCTATAAATGTTTCTAAAAACTGTGATCATCACTGAAATAGTAACTTGCAAGATTCAGTATGTTGACAATACCTGCAAATTAAGACAGCTCCACTCAGACAGCTAGCAGCTTTCCAAGGTGCACCAGGAATGCAGTATGCCACCATGCTGTCAGACATGAACAATATTTTTTTTCTGAGTGCTGTATTACAGTTGTTATTAATAATGTAAGGAGGACAATTCTAAAAGGTGGTTCTTGCATAATAATAGGTGCAGTCTGGATGTCATGCATGAATTTACTTTAACACAGAAAGTAAAACATGCCAGTTATACCTAACCTAGAACTATACAGAACATGCTTAAGTGCTTACAGTGTACTCTGGTAGAAGATTCTATCTTGCAATAAATATTTGCAGAACTGACTCTTTGCAGGGTTGATACCAGTCCTTCAATCTCCCTATATTAATCCAAAACAAATACCTTGTGGGCCAGGGTTTACCAAACGGAAATGGACTTTACCTAACCAATCCCAATAAAATTTATCAGTGCATCTTTTTCCCATAAAAGAACAACTGAAGAGTCTGATCCCTAAGCATGCACATGATAGAATGCATTAGACTTTATTCATCGCTCCAAATGCTCTTGTGGAAATGAAATGTTAAGCTGAAAAAGTCACCGTGTATTAGAATAAACTCCACAGATAACTAGTATAGGACAGACATTCTTGATTCCAGAGCTTGTTTTCTGACCTGTCAGTACTGGTCTTCAAATGAAACCAGTAAAATACTTAAAAGATTCTGGGAGGTAGCATTACTCATCAGCCTTACTGAATAGTAAAAACTAGGTAGTGTCTTGTTGCTGTTTTACCATGCACCGCCAAACATCATCATCACCTCATTTTTCTGTCCTTCATCCCTGATTCATTTGAATGATCTTAATTCATCTGAGGTCAAATTTTTATATATTTGTGTTTAAAATCGCCCTTCCCTCAGCAGGCTTGCAAGCAATTATTTGACTTTGTACACTTTCACATACTGTACAGGACAAGTATGCCCTGGTAAGAACCAGCAAAATTAGAAACTTTTGCTCTCTTGGTGGTGTTCTTGCATGTAGGAAATTGGTTTAGAACTCTTTGGAGACACTTAGTCTGTGTTCTGAAGAGAGGTTTATGATAGCTCTGCCTAGATACTGCTTGTAAATGTCTTGGTTTATCAGTCGGTGACCAGTTCCTCACCCCCAAATACATCTACATTGAAATGAAGTTGCAGATCTGCTGTCAAGAAGCAAGCTCACGTTAGCATTAACGGAGAGCAGTGCAAGTAGACAGGCAAAATGTTTCCCTAACGTTTCCACGAGGACTTCTCCTGAGGCAAGCTTACCTTGGCATAGCTTCTGTTGCTACTTTGATGTAACACTAGTTTTGTAAGTTCCACTGCTCTGCCTCACACCCTCTTTCTTTTAATCTCATAGCCTGCAAAACAGATCTACTATAAAAAAATAAAGCTTCCAAAATACACTCTCTTGTTTGACATAAAACAGAGTAAACTGTATAAAACTAATACTCTAAAGTTTACTTTGACCTTTTTTTCTGTCAGTAACAAGGCTTCAGTGTGACTGAAGTGTTCTCATATCTGGTAGCTGAACACCTTGTACTCCTCCCTTTAGCCAGTTATCACAAGACAGCTCTTCACTGAATGAGGAGATAGAGTGTTTGCTGATTCCTGTTTCTTCAATTAGTCAACAGTTTAAAAAGAAAAAAGCAACAGCTTGGCATCTGTACTATTTTCTAGTTGTTCTGCTGGTATAATAATGGAAGTGAGACTTTCAATTAGCAAACCTTATTTTGCATGTGATTTGTGATTAAATTAAGGGGAAGGGGAAAATTAAAAGTGATAACTGGATTATATAAGCTTTCATCTTCAGGACTGCATTGTTCTGATATATTATTGACACTTTGTCTAATGTTTAAGTAGCTCAGTAGTCTTCAGTTTGTTTTATGTACTAGTATTTGCTTTTAGTTCAGTTAAAGCAGTTGGAAGTAATTACAGTAAAACCCACGCTAGTATGAATGAAGACGAGCTGAAGGTAAATTCAAGCCAGGGAGGCTGTACCGCTAGACAGAGACATAGGGGATTTTTAACCAAACAGACCTTTTCCTTCAGCGAACATTTACATATGCAGTTGATGTGTTCAGTTCCATCCATAACAGAGAAATTGTCTGGACCAGCGGAGGCTGAGCTGCAGTGCAGCACTGTGCTTATAAGCAATGCTTTTGTCCATCTCCAGCTGCCTTAGAGACCAGATTTTTCTGACAGATGACGACCCTGCTTTTGTTGGATTTTTCCCAGCTGCTTCACAGCTTGAACACACCAGTGCAGGCTGACTGTTAATAAGGTCACTCATTCTTACAAAGTTTTAGCTAGTAAATAATATGCTTATGAGAAGTGTCTATGGCATAGATTACGTAACATTGCAGCAGGAGGTCTTTCCCTTTGGTTACTTACAGTTTCTATAGCTTCAAGTTAAAGAACCAAGTCCTTTGTCTTTCACATGTTTGCTGGCCTGAGTGTTACACAATCGTAAGATCCCAAACAGGTCTTGAATGCAGGTTGAATACAATGGCAAGGATGAAGCTTGTTTGGGCAGTGTGTGGAGATCTCCCAGGGCTGCTCAGGGGCACTGCAGTGAAGGTGCATAGAAGTATTTGCTTCAGGAGGTGGCAGGTATGTGGTTTTTGTACCCAGAATTCTTTGTCATAAAGGCACGGCTGTATTTACACTTCAAGTGAAAACATAAAACAAAGCTTTCCACGCGTGTGTGGAGGTGGTAAGTGACATCGAACTATCTGTGACAGATGTTAGAAACCTCTTACAGCAGTGTGCTGCTCGGAAGCTCTCTAATTTTTTCATTATAGAAGTGATACAGGAAGCTCAGTAGAGTGGAACTAAAATGCAGGCAAATTCAGGATTTCCCATACAGTGTCTTTTTGTCTTTAAAGGTATTACCTGCTTGTAGTTTTGTAGCAATCCTATGGATGGTTGCTTTAAGTGTGGGGTTGGCTGTTGGAAAATTATGCTGTATAAATAGCATTGTTTGTTGTGGTTCAGTGGTTTTCATATCATGTTTGTTCAGTTTTCAATTAAGATGGGTGTTTTTTCTAGCTCTCAGCCTTCCAAGCTTGGCTTGCTTTTTCAGAGTCAAGCTGTGTCTTGGCTCAAGAAATGTCTTTGCAGATTAAAGTTCAAAAGGCTAAGTCTTGGTCCAGTGCAGTTTTCATACTCTGATACAGCGTCAGACCAAGTTACACAGGCTGTTCTGTGGGTGATCTTGGAACTGTAATTCAAGAGCTCTGCTCATCAGCAAATGTACTTCTCATTCAAACTTAGGCTATTTTTCTTTTAGACCAACAATAATAGAGTAAAACAAAACAAAGATATATCAGTTTTGCCGGTCAAGAGTAAATCAAATGTCTTTTTGTTGTTGTTTTTCCCTGATAAAATTGTGTGGTTTAGATGGCTCTCAGATCAGATCTTTACTTTGGTCCATTGCTATCTCAGAAATAGACACTTGAAAGCTCTAATACAGTAACAAGCATGAATAATAAAACCCAAACCAAACAGGAGTTGAAAGACTGTTTGTGATACATGGAAAATTTGGTAACTGTCAATGTTCTCTAAGGATGATGTCTGAAAAATTAACCTTGGTGGATGGTGATGTGGAAGGTTAGACAAGAGAAGCAGTTTCAGGACTGTGATTGTATACAGAAGCTTTCAAGATCTTAAAATGTGCCTTGCCTAAGTTAATTTATACAGTGTCTTAAAATACCCCATTCAGAACTAGGCCTAAAAGAGTGCTGATTGTTTAATACTGGCACTCGCAAGCTTAATAGAAATTTCAAGTGAAAAGTTATTTCGTATGTACTGTTAATGAACTTGCCAAATTTGGAATAATTTTCCTTTTCTTTTCCTTGTTGATTTGCAGCTGCTGTTGGCTTTCTGACAGTTTCCAGTGTCATTACCATGTCAGCCCCTTTCTTTCTGGGGAAAGTTATTGATGTTATTTATACAAATCCCAGTGAAGACTTCACTGACAGCCTGACCAGCCTGTGTGCCTTGCTGAGTGGAATCTTTTTATGTGGTGCTGCTGCTAATGCTACTCGTGTCTACCTCATGCAGACTGCAGGTAAAAACAGAAGCAAAAAGTGGTACTGAGAGCCATCTTTTTTCACAGTGTCAGGATATCTAATGATCTGAAATAAATTCTTGGCACTGAGAGATTCTTCTTGGAATCAATAGCTTTTTTTACCAGATCAGAGGTAGATCAGTAGTGCAAAGATAAGTATGCTGGAATAATTGTTCATTTTTATTTACTGTTATGTGATATCTTAAAGCTCACTCTCTTCTGGTATGTTCTGTAATTCTGGTCTCTCTGTAATGTGACTAGTTCAGTGCTGTGTAATTCTGTGATTTTTACATTGTCAGCGTCTGTGTAAAGTCTTGGATGCCATGCTTGACTGACTTCTGTTTCTGACAGGACAAAGAATTGTGAAACGTTTGAGAACAACCATGTTCTCCTCTATTCTGAAGCAAGAAACTGCTTTCTTTGACAAGACCAGAACAGGAGAGCTGATAAACCGCTTATCTTCAGATACAGCCCTCCTGGGCCGTTCCGTGACTGAAAACCTTTCAGATGGGCTCAGGGCAGGAGCGCAAGCATCTGTGGGGGTTGGCATGATGGTATGGTGGTCTCTTCCCTGCTTGTCACTTCTTGTAGTTGCAAGTTGGTTTCAGTTCTGTTGGGTAATGTGGAAATGTGGTTCAGTTCAGAAACTTGTGTGTTCTTGGATACAAGTGTATTTCACTGGTTATCTACAGGAACTTCTATGTGCTGCATTGCAGTGCATCATGTGCCTGTAGCCACTTGGTGTTTTCTCACAAGCCAGAATAGGGACAATGAAGGTTTGAAATGAACTGCTGTTACTGCCCAAATGTATCAAGCAAAGTGTAGTAGGCAAATAGCTTAACTTCCTACTAAAAATACTAATGTCAGTTATAATGTTCCCATAGTTATAGGTAAAATAGGATGTGAAGGTCCTGATGTAAAAGTAATGGAATTTGGTTGATTCTGGTTAAGGCCTGGGTGAGCAAAGGCAGCACTGAATATCAAACTACTGCTGAGGATTTTTACAAGTGTTAGTCTTTCTGCTTTAGTCGGTCAGTAAAGAATATATTTAGGTAGGAAGCATATTAATGAAGGCTCCAGTGCAGTGCATCAGATAATATTCCTTGGTGGCCAGTTGGTTTACATAAAAATCTGGCCCCCCTTGATGTCTTTTGTGGCATTAATTTTGTTATGCTTATCTGAGAAAAAATATGTTGGTGGCAGTTATCTTAACTGAAGGTATGGTAATTTCTGCTGTCTACCTGGAGATAAAAACAGATAGCAGAAAGTCTCCTCATAAAAATATGCTTTTAATATTGATGTTATTAGAAACTGTTAATAGTTTCCACTGTGAAGTTTTAAAGCATTAGTACTTTGTCACTGTTAAGAATTATGGCTTTCTGTATTTATCTAAGCAAATAGTCTCTAAGGTTTTATCTTACCATAGATTAAATGGAATAACTTTATATAAGGTATTCTGCTCAAAAATCCTGCCATGATACAGTGTTAAAAGGTGGACTTTAAAAGCTTTCTCAGAAAGAAGAGATTATTATGGAATAATTATAAAGCCTGGCAATTAAATCGATATTTAATTTTTCTGGAGGTTTTTGTTTTCAATACAGAAAGTGAGATGAGGTGAAAACACATTAGATGTAATTTCAATAAATCTTATGAAAATAACCTATTTAGGAGCTTTGATGATGATTGTTACAAGTGATAACGTTTTGCAACAGTAAATTAAATCCATTATTCCAGGTTATGAGCATTCGTGGGTGCTAGGGAGAACTGCTGACTCCATCTGTTGCTCGGTTACCCAGAAGTAGTATACGATATTTCTCTACTTAGCCTTTCTGTATTACACCATCTGTTTAAAAGTTGTGAAAGCACTTGAGAAACTATATAATAGCTTACATCTTTCAGCATGCCTGAGAGATTTCCTGGTAGGCCTGTTTACTGAGGTTAAGATACTTGGCTAAGACCGCACAGTGAACCAGTGAGAAAGCTAGAAATGAAATCCAGACTGCTTTGCTCATAATCCTTTGCTCTAACCATGAGATACATCCCAAATGCTGTGGAGGAGTTGATATTTTTGCCTGGAAGAAATACAATGTGATAAATGAAAGCATGGCAGCACTAAATTACAGTCCTACTAGTTTTAGAAAACTCTAGCGAAGGAGGTTGCACTTCAGTACTCCAGTAGTTATTTTTAATCTGAACGCTAACCCCTGACACATACCTTTTTCTTCTAGTTTTTTGTGTCTCCTAGCCTTGCTGCATTTGTTCTGAGCGTTGTGCCACCCTTGGCTGTCCTGGCTGTGATTTATGGAAGATACTTGCGAAAACTGACTAAAATGACCCAAGATTCTCTTGCAGAAGCAACACAGGTAATCTTTTAATAGACACTTTCTAGTTAACTTCAAAGTTGCTCTAGTGTGTTTAGGTTAATATATCTGAAGTTACAGATCTTCTGAAGATAATTGCACTGTTCATTGCCCTAAGCCATGCTGAGCCTGTAGTTTTGCACCTGAATAGGCTGAAAGATAAATGTCAGTAACATTTATTCATAGATCTCAAAACCAACTATGCTTTGCTTGTCCATAACAATATAATGTAGAGGTACAAGGCCTTGAGAATTTGGAAATGTAGGGAAGGCTAAGGATGTTAGGCTTCAGCTTTGTGAGACCATAAAAATATCAACCTATGAAATCCTGTGTAATTTGGTACCTGGGTGTGAAAGACACTTTTCTTAGACCATGGTTATGAGTTTGAAGCCATCAGAAGCATCCTAGATCCATCTGTCTTTTAAGAAAACTTTGCTAGGAAGTCCTCTGGAATAAATCCTTGATGTTTGACCTTATTGTCAGCTCTTTAATGTTTATGAGGCTTGACATTTCTTAAACTTTTCTGGGTATCTCAGCACATACCCAGATATTTGGGAGGAAAGTAGAGGAAGCTGTTGCTTCTAAAGAGGCTGTTGTAGGGGTCCTTTATTGTGTTTGCTGACTGCACTGAATCTTGCAAAGTACTATCAGAGAATAGTAGTGATAGTGACCTCTTCCTCACAGGCTGAGCATGGGGAAACATTAAAAAGCATAGAAATAGAATCAGGAAAGATCTACTTAAAACAGCCACAGTTGTCAGCTGTTTTAAACTTGGGCTGTTCTTTGTAGAAATTCTGCAAATTGACTGTGCAGAAGGAAGATTAAGCCCTCTTCTGTTTATCTTCTTCATCCTGTGTTGAAGGGAAGCTCATGCCTTTTTAAACCAGGTGTGGGACTTCACATGAGCAAGCAATTTTAGTGTTCCATTCAAATTTTCGGGTTGAATTGAGGATAGAAGGAAGAGAACTGTATTTTTAATATCATATTTTTATTCAGAAAAGGGAGCCTTGTTTTCTGTAAGACCATCACAGTGTCTATTATCAACTTAGTCTAATCAGTTACGATTGAGGTAATTTTAGAATTAATACTTTGCTCTTCAGAAGTTAAAATAAAATACTGAGTTGAAATGAGATGTTAGTAGTTGAGTTAAATTCATTCCCAGTGTTGCTTTGATCACATAAGTGGAATTGTTTCAGGAAATAACTGCAGGTTTTCTTGCTTGATTTAGTGTAAAATAGAATATTCTTTATTTTTGCCCTCCCCGCATTGTTATTGCAAGATATTGTGAATAGTAATCTTATTTGTGTTGTTCCTGTCAAATTAAGGGTTTTTTTTAGCCCTACTTTTATATTTTTCTGCTAGGACTTAAGGCAATCTTGAAGTTCTTTTTAAACTGCCTGGGCATGCAGTTTCCTTTTAACATAACAGAATTAAAAAAAAAAAAAAAAAGGGAAAATAATAATTTAT